AAAAAAAAAGAAGTCAATGTCATAAGAAAAAAAAAGGAGAGAGGATGGCTATAGATTTAAAAATAAAGTCCAGCAATCAAATATAATTCAGGATTTTGACTGGATTAAAAAATAGCTAACAAAAAATAGCTAACTAAGACTTATTTTGGGATAATTAGGTAAATTTAAATATGACTAAAAATTAGATGGTTCTCATTGACAGTAATTTTCTTAGATATGAAAATATTATGTAGGAAATCATTCTTGTTCTTGGGGGAGGTATGATGAGATTGAGGGTAAGAATATTATATGCCTCAGCTTTAGAAACGTGAGATATAAATTGTTGGAATAGAGATAAAACATGATAAAGTGTTGACAATTGATAAATCTGGTTGAAAGTGTATAAGCTATCCAATGTATTCTGTTTTCAATTTTTCTACAATTCTGAGATAATCTAAAAGTAAAATATTGGGAATACGGTATTCAAAGAATTTAACAAAGAAAGAAAATCTAGTCTCTTTGGTCAAAGTGATTTCATTGGAATACTGGTGTCAGTAATATAGGAAGTGATTTGTGGAATAAGTAGACGGTAAAGATATGAAGACAGAAAATACAGACTTTTCTAAATGGAGGGATAAGGAAGGTGAGGAAAAGGTTTTATTTTTTGTTTTGTTGTTTTGTGCAATTGTAATGGTTTTAGGTTGGGAGAGATTCAGCATGTATATAGTGGTGGATACATACAGCTGGAGAAGACACTGAGATCAGAATGACAGGGGATATTTTCTGAAGCCAAATCTCTGAGAAAGGTAAGGTGGCAACTGTGGGGAAGGGCTTAAAGTGTGAGTGGCAAATGAAGACGCCGCATCCTCCCCTGAGCTGTGAGGGAAGGAGACAGTAAGTAATAGGACAGGGTGCAAGAAGGTAAGAGAGCCCAGCCTAAGGCCTCATATTTTCACTGGAAAATAAGAAATGTTACCTGAGCGTGAGAAAGAAAGTAGTAGGGCATAATTGCAAAATAATTATTGTGGAAATTCAGGAGAGAGATGGCTAAAGTCATGAGAAAAATTCTTTAGCAGCAGTAAGGAGGCAGCTGAGAGAGGAAACTGTAACTTTTGAAGTAGCAAATTGTTGGAACATTCACATTCACATAGCAAAGTTTCCCAGCATTCTAGAACAAGCAGTCAACTTGATAAGGATTAGGTTTCCCTACAAGAATGCAACAGAAGTACAAGGGGAAAATGAGTGAGTGGATTGGCAAGTAACTGGCTGAAATAATGACACAAGCATGAAGACAGAAAGGTTGATAACTGAGGAGAAAATGGAAGCATCGAAAGCAATTAATTGTTCTTAACCTTTGCTGTATGTCTGGACAATCTGGGGAATTTAAAAACAAAGCCATTAAATGCTTCATGTTTAATATCTCAAAAGTCATCATGGGGCATGGTTGAGAACGATGATGTTCATGAGGCAAAAGAATAGGCACTCTAGACACTTGCCATGACAGTTAGAGGGCTGGGAGACAGGATTTTGAAAGTTGTTGGTAATATGACCCAAGGTAAGAAGTGAAGAGCTAGAGAAAAGGTCCAAATAAAAGAACTAAGAATCAAGGAGTCACAAGTCTAACGTCAAGGAGGAATCACCCAGGAGGAAAATAGTATTCAATATTTAGGAAAATGTATGTATGAAGAGGAGAGACAGCCCCTGAGCTAAGCCTGTGCCCATGATGTGTTAAGATAAAGTGATTGGGGGGTGGACTGGGGAGGGGAGAATGAGCAGATGGTGGTGGGCAGGAGAAATGGGCAGTGGGGTATGGTGGCAAAGACAAAAGCCTGTATAAGATAAAGGTGCTTGAATAAAGGTTTTTAAGCATACTAACCACCAGACCTATTATTGAGAATAAATTCTGGATGATTTTTTAAAAAGATTTTATCTATCTATCTATCTATCTATCTATCTATCTATCTATCTATCTATCTATCTATCTATCTCTATTCATACAGAACTGGGGTATAAGCCAGATTTGCAGGAGTGATGAAGGCTTCACCAGAGACAGAGTGGGGAACAGAACAGGCAGATCCACGAAGTACACTGCTGAGGGGAGCGGTGGGTGGGTCAGGAGAGGTCTGCCACCCATGTGGATCTCCTCTGGGGTGGGGTATCGAACTGAAGCAGCTGAGGCTGGCTGTAGTGCTGCGTCCTCATGGTTGCACCACCAGGGAGGCCCCTGGGTGATTTCTTTAGGTGAGGGAGCCAAGGCAGGGAGAGCAGTAGGGAGCTGCACAGGTCATTTACCTGATTGCCAGCAAGTCCATTCTCTGTCCTTCCCATTCTCTGCTGTGTGTTGTAGTTGACTACTGTTCCCAGGCTCTCTTCCCAGCTCTTTTCCTGGTAGGGTCACAGTGGGAAGAGCTGGTGAGGGACCAGAACATGAGGAGAGTAGCTAAGATACTGCTCCCTGTCCCCTCCCTAGGTGGGCTTCTGGCAGTTAGTGGTGGCTGTCGCTCCCCCTAAGCAGCCCTCTCTCTGGTTTGAGTTCCCACCTCTCTGCCCTGTAGCAACTTCCTCCAGTTGCTAATCTGTCTCCCCTCTGTGGGCTTCTTAATGACTCGAATCTGTGGGTTATCAATTCCCTGCACCAAGTGCCTCCTATTTGTTCTACCTGCTTCTCTCTTCCCTTTCAGTTGAAATAATTTGGTCAGGTGATGTGGCCCTGAAAGTGGACAATGGTAATGGCAAAGGAGAGGGGAAATGAGCTAAGAGACGTTTCTGAGGATAGGAGGACCAGACCTGACTGGATGTGGGGTGGGCAAGGGAAACGAAGGTGAAGTCCTGGCTCAGAGTGGAAGAGACATAGAGAAAGAGCAGGTGTTAGGGATGCATGAGACATGTTGAAGTGTCTCAACATAGAAGCACTCTTTACAATGGAAAAGCAATGTGAATATATGCTAAGGGAAAAAAAGGCTATTTTTTAAAAAACCTAAATTTCTTCCTGATATTGTAGAATTACAAACAATCTGGTAAACATTCACGACTGTGTTCTGTGCCCTGCACAGGTTAAAACAAAACAAAACAAAACATACTAAAAATAGTGACTTGGATAAATATTATGAAACAGCTTAATTCTTCCCCCCCCCCTTTGTTTTATAAAGAACACGTACCTACATTGGCTGTGAGGCCACTACTTGATAAAAGATCTTCATTATTTGGTTCACAAGCTTTTGATTCCATGTTAAATATTGCTACCTCTTCTTAGAGATCTTCAGATATGAATGGTTCCCTGTTTGGGTCTTTTAGTTCTTATCTATAAAAGACAAGGATTCAGTCTTTATTAATAAGAAATCATGTAAAAAACATCCATGGAAGAGGAGCTGCCTTGTTCATATTTAAAATTTAGGTAATTTTCACCAAGAAAATATTTATAGTTTATTATATAAAGCAAATGGATACAATCTTACTGCAGATTTTAGTGGCCAAATGGTCTATTAAAGATAATCTGAAAATCAAAAACAAATATTTTAATTTTATTATGATAATTATATCTCTGCTTTGAGGCAGCTTTTTTCCCCTTAATGCTCTCACGTAGTTACATTGGGGAAAATACCTCCTTAGTAAAAAGTCTCCAACTAGAAGAAGCATTACAAATAAGCAAGTTGTAAATCATTAATATAAGTTAAAAGACTACCTATCAAATTTGACTACCTATGAAATACTATCACATATTGTTCATAGATTATACCAAGAGGTGACATCTGGGTATGGAGCACAATAGTGGTAACCCCGTGCCAAATTCTCCCCTTGATCCTCCAAAACAACATACAATCAAGATGGAGCACGAAGAAATAAAACCACAAGGGTCCTGGGCTGTTAGCACCACTAGAAGACAGAAAACTCACACCCTCATATTATCTGTAAGCAGTTCATCTACTATCCCTGCAAGCCTGCATATGACTAATAGGACAGGCGAGGCTGAAAAGACTGAAAAGGAGCAAAGTCAGAGGATTTAGAAGCAGCAGAGACAAACTCACCAAGAAAGTGAACAGTAAGTGCTAAGATACTAAGCACAGGTTGAAACTTAATAACCTACCATCACAGATGGTGGTGTAAGGGCTTCACAGTGTGACCCAAGTAGAACTTAGGGATGCAGTGTTTCTGGGGGAGAATCAGAAATGGAGAGAAGGGGCGATGTCCCCTGGACTCAGGGCAGTACAGGCAAACCATGGAATGAGGAAGGAAAATTCAGGAAACAATCGAAACAAAAAGAAGCCAGCTCCATCAACCCTCCTCCTACCCTGCCACTGCAACCACAGCACTGTCCACAGAAGAAACTGCACACATGAGGGCACTCTCAAACCAGAATGCTGACCACGAAACATGTAAGAAGAGAGAAAACATCAAAGCCACATAAAAACTACAATGAAAATGTCAGAAAATGTGAATAAAATCTTCCCTGCTGATGAAAAATATCTTAGAGCCATGTCTACCTACCTGCTCCTCCCAATCCCCACAATGAAGCAGGAAACCACCTCAGAGCAGTCCAGAACGGAACTAAATATCCTCAAGCCCAAATTTGGGGATGAGAAACATCACTCTTGAATCAGGTGAGAAAGGAAACGGGAGAGAAGAAAAAGTAGAGTGGTTGTTATAAAGGTCATAGGGGGTAGTCAAAGAACATTTGAAACTGGCCAGTAATAGCTTTTCTGCTTTTTGGTTAAGATCAAGTATAAAACTAAAAAAACTGGGGCTTATAGGTACACTAGAAAGTATCAACACAAACGTAACACAGAGAATTAGGAACAAACTTTTTACATGACCAAAGACTTTTAAGAGGAAAAAGAAACACTAAACATAGTAATATTCCGTAAGTACACTATGGTGACAATAACATTAAATATGATAGAATTTTGACCAAACCTGACAGTCATATCACTATGAAGAAAAGGATTTTTATATTGGCTCTTAAAAAAAAAAATAACCCTCAACTCTATGCTGGATACAAGGGGCACACTTCAGAGGCTTTGGTTAAATACAAATAAAGTGGTAGGCAAAGAGCTACCAGGCAAACACAATAATAAAGCATAGGGTAAAGCCCTGATACCAGATCAAGTCACAGTGCATTAAATGAGACAAAGATCACTTAGAGTCAGAAGCCACCTTTCACAATAGAGATATAATTCTTCTGACTGTGCCATATAACATAGCAACCACTTAGATAAAAGAAATTATAGGAGATGCAGTAATAACTTGGAACAGAATGAGAGACTTTAATAAGCTGCTAGGTCTGAGACAGGTCAAGTGGACAAAAACAAAGCTATAAAAGATTAAATGATGACCCAGGCAGATCTTTTGGATACAGATCTAACAGTACAACAGATAGTAGAGAATGTACCTTCCTTTAAAGCACAAATGGAATGAACATCACAAACATCGTTTTCTAGTACACAAATAAAAGATCAATATGTTCTAGAAAGTAGAAATGTTCCCAAAAAACATTTGTCACAAGGTAATAAAACTAGAAATAAAAAGTGAAACCCCAAAAGATGAAGACTTTCCATCCAAAAATTAAAGGGCCTTCAATTAAATGACTCTTGCGTGATAAGGAAAGTACAAACAGAAGTTAAAGATTTTCTTTAAAAAATGTTAATGAAAATGCTAGCCATCAGAAAAAAATACATTAAAGCAGCAAAAGAGGAAAATTCCTAAGTTTGAAATATGTGTTTAATAGAAATAAGAGAATAAGACGAATGAAATGTTAAAAAGTTAGGGAAAAGTAAAGCAGAGAAGGCATATGGTAGTAATAAAGATAAAGTAGAAACCAGTGATGTAAAAACAGAAAATTAACAAAATTCTGAATTTTTGAAAAAAAAATAGATGTAGCTAATGACTATTGAAATTAAAGAAAGAAGATCACAATAACATAGGGCTTAGGGCTTCACATTAATTTACAATTGAAGCATATAATATTAAAAACTGAAAAAGGACCTGTGAGCCTAAGTTTTAATGAACAGAATTCCTTTTTATTTCACTCACAGTTTCTCCCTTTTGATTACTGAGGTGCCATCTGTCAAAAATACAATAGATAAATTCTCCCTTAAAATGTTTCCTGCTATCATTTCTAGGAAATGAGCAGGTAGGGTGACATTCCACAGAGAATTTTAATACACGGAATGTTATTCAAAATTGCTAGGCAATTTAAATGTTCTAAATACAAAAGATGGCTATTTTAACAAAACCTCACAGAAAGAAGAAAGTTTGTATAACTTGATTTACACACTAAAAGTGATAAGTTTGAGATTCTTTGGAATGATGAAAGACACTTGCAATTCACATTGGAGTAATGTTATGAAAAATTACAGATAAAGCATGAAGTGATTTGTGAGACAGATTGAGTCATACATAGCCCAGTGTTAGAAAATCACACACTAATCCACACTGCTTAATACCACCGATATGTGTATCAAGTAGGAAATACTACCTAAGAACAAGATAAGCAGGTCTGGAGCTAGAAGTTGGAAAAGAGAACATTCTGATATGGATACCATGCTTGTTTACTTTGTCATGAGATGATGAAGGTGACAAACATTAATTCAGTAACTACTGTCAGGTACTAGCTTAGTAGGGAGCATTAGAAAATTAAAAGTTTAAAAAAGACATAGATTAATTGAACAAGAATTTCAAAGCAACCCCTTACTTGTAAAGAAGATGCTTAGTACTTTTACTTATTAGTGTCATTAGGTAACTTAGAGTATTGGAATCTGCATTAAAAAATTCATAATTTAGATTTTGATGACCCTATCATCAAATTGGTCAAAGCATTCAATGCTTTTCTGCTTTCATGACACAAAGAATTGAAACAATATTCTTATCTTCAGTTATAAAGCTTATTAAGTATTTCAAGGAAAAAAATTTGTTTTACCTTAATAAATCATGAAATTGTTAAAATGTTGCAGTTTGTTGATTTAGGGATCATAATATGAACTTACATATGTTTTATTTAAATCTTTAAATAACTTACAGAGATGAGATCTTGGCCTTTTCTACTATGCCCAAGGCTTATTAGGCATGATTCTGTCTGTTTTAAAAGGATAAATAGGTTCCTTCAGGAGGCTGAAATTTTTGACAAGTTAACAGCTAGGTACATATTCGAGTATGTGTGACTGAAAAAGAAAAAGTCTTTGAAGTCACAGACCTCAAAAAGAGGACTTAGGAAAAAAAATAGTTTATAGATGAATTTTTGTTACACAGTTGAGCCAAAGAGCTTTTAGAAAATACCTCCAGGCTCTCATCCCTTCTTCTTGGCACCCAAAGTCTCTGCTGACTGTGCACTTACATTTTCCCTGATGTAAACAGTCTTCACCTTGACTTTGTTCTTGTGGTCACTTAAGGGAGAGGTCTCCCATGACAACTTTGGTAGACTGTCTCCACAGTAAGCAGATATAGCAGCATCTATGCCTTACTTTAATTGTGTACAGATTATTTATAATGTGCATTATATTTGGATACCTGGATTCATAATTGGTAAGTCAAGTCCTTAGGATGCTGAACTAGTCTGAAACTGGGGATTTTATGAAACAGATCCATATTTTCCTCAAATTAGAGTACAGGTATGTTTTTCTTAAGGAATCCTGAGCTGCCTCAAGGTTGACCCAAAAATGACAAATTTGTGCTGGTACAATCTCAGAAACATAATGAGAATAGTTTAAACTGAATAGCACTTACTGTTTCCATTAATTGGACAACTGTTAATTGCTTATTAACTTTATATCATTCTATGTGTCTACTTTCTCAGTCACGTTCTTTCTAGATGCTATCATTGAACCGTAGGATTCAGCTCCTGTTTGATATTTTTGATCTTTAGAACCATATTTAACCTCTCTAGGTTATAAGGTGGAGTGTTAACTGAGGTAATTCATGTTCAGGCCTTTTAATATTGTGGGTACTTGCTTCTATCCATGTGTATATGGTACCACCCAATAGGATAGAAAACCATGAAAAACAATACTGGTTTTGTAAGTTAAGCAGTGCACACTAACTTACTTTCCCCTAATAAGTGATCATCTTTCCTGTTGAGAAAGAAGATAAACATTTCATATTGGTCCACAAACAGAAAATAGTGTTCAAAGTATACTAAGTAAAGGGGATTGTTAAAATTTGGAGTTAAGCTATTTATGATCATACTTTACCAACTCATAATTCTGTCTTGTAAGGAGCAAGTATGGAAGAAACTCAGA